TTTTTTTTTTAGTTTACACTTCTAAGAATATGGTCTCTTTCAAGAAAATTCTTGTGGTGATATATTGTGTACCCTAATAAAATCTGCCTGAAGATCAGAGAACAAAATAAGCCACTAGATTAAACATAGAGGCCAGACGTTAGTGGCACACACCTTTAATCCTAGCCCTTGGGAGGCAGAGATCCATGTGGATCTCTGTGAGTTCAAAGCCACCCTGGACTACATGAGATTGACTCAGTCTAGGAAAGAAACAGAGCCAGGCAGTGGTGGCACACACCTTTAATCCCAATACTTGGAAGTCACACGCCTTTAATCCCAACACTAAAAAGGAGGTGATATGGTGGCAGAGAAAGGTATATAAGGTGTGAGGAGACAGGAATTAAAGCTTTTAGGCTGAGGACCCCCTTTCGACTAGAGCCCTTTCGGCTGGAGCTTTCAGGCTGAGGAGTTGATGAGGTAAGAGGTAGTGGCTGTGGCTTGCTCTGCTTCTCTGATCTTTCAGCTTTCACCCCAATATCTGATCTGGGTTTTTTATTAAAAGACTAAATTAGATTACAAATTCTATCTTCCGCCGGGCGGTGGTGGCACACCCCTTTAATCCCAGCACTCAGGAGGCAGAAGCAGGTGGATCTTTGTGAGTTCGAGGCCAGCCTAGTCTACAAAGTGAGTTCCAGGACAACCAGGACTGTTACACAGAGAAACCCTGTCTCAAAATACAAAAACCAAAAAAACAACAAAAATTCTGTCTTCTCCTTTCTTTCCTCCCTTATCTCTTGCTTCTCCTAGAATGACAGTCCAATGACAGCAAGTGCTCATGGGATATGTCGTGGTGGGTGGAGCAGGAAAAGGAGGGCTCAGTTCTGAACCCTGCTCATAGATCCTCACCAAGTTGAAGAAAACTTTTGACTTTCTGTCTAGGCGATACCCAGTGCTGTGAGATCTGAGGCTCCAGCCATTAACCTGTGTCAGTAAAGCCCGCAGAAACGTACAGCCTCGGAGCTCTGCCAGTCTGCTAGACTCCTCAGGGGTGTGTTATATGAACACAAAGATTCTCCTACATGTCACATGCAGGTTTCAGGGGTATCTTAGGACAGCAGATTAGGCCACTTCTGCTGCTAAATACAACTCCACCATGTTAAAAGTGGTATACTGTCAAATTCAAGGCCTCTCCCCAGAGAAGAGGATTTTCTCTAATACCCCACCAATTTGGATCCTTCCATGACTACACCTTTCCCTCTGCCATTTCAGGCTGGAGGAGGACGGCCAGAACAGGAAGTAAGGCTCTGCAGGTCCTGCACCCTTCCCCCACCCCAGATTCCACAGATCCAAAGCAAGAGTGCTTTTCCTTCCGGCTACTGACTTTGTCTCAGCTTCCCTAAGGAGTGGTGTACAGGAAATCCCACTTTCGCTATTACCAATATCTGGACTTTTAAAAACTGCCAATAGAGCTTCAAAATTGCCTGAGACTCCCTTCCCTTGAAAATGTCTGGTTTTCTAGGACTGGTGCGATGGTTCAGCAGTTAAGAGCACTGGCTGCTCTTCCAGAGATTCTGTGTTCAATTCCCAATAACCACACCATGGCTTACAACCATCTGTAATGGCATCTGATGCCCTCCTCTGGCATGCAGATGTACATGCAGACAGAACACTCATAGATAAAAATAAATAAATTTTAAACGAAAAGTAGAAAAAAAAAGTCTGGGTTTTACTATGATTGTGGTTTGGAGATCCAAAACTCTGTTTTTAGAAATCAAAGTTGCTCTTTGCTTTCCTTTCGTCTTCCCTCCCTCCCTTCTTTCCAGTCTTCTTATTTTTTTAAAATTTATTTTATTACTTTGTGTGTATGGGTGTTTTGCCTGCTTGCATCACGTGCATGCAGAGGCCCCGGGAAGCCAGAAGAGTGCATTGGATCCCTTGGAGCTGGAGTTGCACTGGGAGCTACCACGTGGATGGGTTCTGGAGATCCAACCAGGGTCCTCATAGAGAGGACCAGTGCTTTTAACTGCGGAGTCATCTCGAACCCCATTCTTTCTTCTTTTTGAATTTCTGATGCCACAGTTCTACTAATTTTTTCAGGATAACAGTTACTTCTGGATGACCAAGGAGAAAGTCCCAAAGGGAAATAAAATATTAAAGTATTTTAAAAATCTCTCACATTTTTTTTTCCGTAAAGTTGCCAACCTTTTCATTCATAGTCTTTCTTGTACCTCATATTCTTTCATAGAAGGTCAAATTTAATCTCCGTTTTGGAATACCAATAGTAATAATAAAAAAAGGTTGTAAGTTTTAGTGTCATACTTTAGTTTCAGAATTCAATTTGGCAGTGACTTGAAAGTAAGAGCCCGCATGATCACCATTTATTCATTTTATGAATTCTATTTGGAAAAGAAATGTATTCAGCAAGTTCTGGAAAACAGGCAGGGTCAGGAACGGCACTCTGGGACAGGTTGGAAGGATGGAAGCCGTGCCTACGTTTGTAAAGCATTCAATCTGGAAGTAAGCTGTAATCAACACGCACATTTACCACTAAAATCATTGACTCGGGTTTGTCATCACGAACTTCCGGCCGCGGAGGCTTGTAGCAAATGTAAAGACACCAAGAACCTGGGCACCGAGGCGAGGCTCGTTCCGCGGTAACTGGGAGGGCGGAACATCCTTTCCTTTAAAGAGGCCCAGGGGGACGCCAGCGGCGTACGCGTTTTTTGCTGAATTTTGGGCCTCGCCGCCCGCCGTCCGCCGTCACGTGCGGGCCGCAGCGGCCGCGTAGTCAGGTGGGGACGGCTGAGCCGGGTGCCAGCCAAGGCAGGAAGGGAGGCGGCTGCCGAGCCATTCTTAAAGGGGCCCCGAGAGATCCTACGGCGACGGGCCGCCGACGGCCGGAAGGAAAATGGTGAGTGGCGGCGGAGGGCGGCACCGCGGGGCTGGGCGGGCTGGCCGGCCCTTCCCGACCTCCAGCCGCGGCCTGGGGGACCCCCGCGCCGCGGGCCGGCGGTTGGAACGTGGCCTCCGCGTGCGCAGGGCTCTGGCCCTTGTGCTCCCCGCGGCGGAACGGGCTGGGCCCGAGGGGCGGCGTTGGTGGCCAGCGCTTGGGTTCTGATGGCCTCTTCTGGCCTCGTCCCGGCTCCCTTCTGCTCGCGTCCCCCCAGAGTCCCGCTGAATTGCGCCTGATCTCCGCATTCTTCCAGTCGAGGCCGTTGGAACCCATGTGACCCGAGGGGCTCTGGCTTCGCCTTGAAGCAGCTGTCAGAGATTTAGTTTTGCGGCGCCTGGGGGGCCGTGGCTTCTGTTCCCCGTGACGATGGACCCCAAGCATAACATAAAGCGGAGGTTTAAGTCAGTTGCCATCAGGGATCTTCTGGATCCTTTTAAAATACGACCAAGTTCCATGGAACACAGCAACAGGAAGACACTGTTGTTGTCTGTAACTCCTCTCTTGGGAACCGCTTCCATCTAGCTGCTAGATTCTAGCAGATCTTACCGTGGTCACTGAACCCAGGAAACTCGTGGGTTTTCATCATTACGACCTTTAAGCCACATTCCAGGGTGCTGACAACTCAGGTTTGAAGCATTCCTTTCTTCATGCTTCCCCCTAGGCTTCTGGGACTCAGAACTCCTGGCTTTCCTCCTACTTCTGCTGATGCATCTGTTTCCCTTGGATTCCGCTCTCCATTTCCTGGTCTGTGCTCATAAGAGCCCTAGGCTCCATCCTGAGGCTTCATTTTCTATTGTATTTCCCTTTGCTGAATTCCTGGCTTCGGTTACCACCTACTTTGAGTTGACTTAGTGAGTTCCTATCTCTGACCTTACTGCTGAGATCCAACCAGAAGTTATATTCCACTTTTTTGTTAATATACTCAGGAAGCATGGCACCACGCAGATGCCACAGAGGCTCTTCAGTTTGGCCCAAAAGAACTCGTAGTTTCCCCCTCACATCTGGTCTTCCTCCAGCCAGAATTCTGTAACTTGGTTAAAGGTCCCATTCGTTTCTGCTACACAAGCCATACGTCTTTGTAAGCCTTTATTTCCTCCATATTGAATCTAGCCCAATTCCTATGTAGTGATTAAGAGAAAGAGCTGTAAAGGTCAGGCTACCTGGTTGCTTCCTGAGTCCATTACCTATACGTCTTTGATTTGGGGGAAGATGCTTGTAGCCTGTCTAAGCCTTACATTTCCTGCCAAATGGGGATGGTGTTAGTGCAGGTGAGATGGTTTGGAACATGAAGCAGGAATCAGCCTCCTGCTCCAGACGTGGGGACTTAACTGATGTCACTCACTGCTTTATGCTGCTCTGCAATCTCTCAGCTGCTTGTCATCTTTTATCTGAAGTGGTCTTGCTGGTCACCGGTGCTGCCGTGTTCTTGGCTCTCTGCCTGTTTACTGCATATCATGACAAATACGATCTTATCAAAATTCACATGTGGCCATGTTGATAGCTTCCGTTTGCTGATGGATAGAAATCTGAGTACCTACAGGCCATCACCTAGCCCTGGTTCTCGATCCTGTTCATTGTGGGCACCTTAGTCCCACTGTCATTTCATGATTTAGGCTGCCATGCTCACTTGAAGCACTTTAGATGGCTTTTACTGGGGCCACGATGTTCTTCACCACACATCAGTTTCAAAGCATCTTGTGGTTCTCCATTCTAACCTTTATCATAGGTGCCAGTTTTGATATAGATTTCTTCTCTACTAGTCTATAATGTAAGCTAGCACTTACACACCAATAAATGAACATTTGAGCTCAACTAAGTATCATTTGCCACCTAGAATTGTTTTTATAGCTTTGTACCCATTCTTAAACGCTTCCACATGTAAACGAGAGTAAGAGTTGGCTAAACCTGAGTCCATTCCCTTCTCTCCCTCACCCTTTCCTTTTTAGAAGAGATAATCGATCCTCCTGCCTCAGTCTCTAAGTGCTGGGATTACAGACATGTGCTACCACACCTGGTTTCTGAGTCTTTCTTATAAGATGGGTTTTTGGCTTTGTTGTGGCATTGGGAAGGGAGAAAACACACTGAATTACACAGAGTAAATCAAAGCGTGTCTTCACCTTTGACAACCATCACATCCTGGGGGCACATGAGGCAAGTCTCTTACAAATGGAGTTACACACTGAGTATGTCTGCATGAGTTTCCGAACCTGTGATGTCAAGCTTACATTTGTGGCTCTGATTATCAGGGTGTCAAATTGGTTTTGTCTAAATAAAAATCAAAAGTTTTTATTAGTTTCATTAATTTCATCTTTGATCAAAGTAGATTGAATCAGCTTCAGGCAGTTCCCTGTGACTTAGCATCTCTCTAAAGAGAAGTAGGAAACTGAAAATACATATCCCAGCAGTGGTTATTTTCTGTTGGCTAGTGCCCTTGGCTGGGGTATACTTCCTGATTGATTGTGTAATTGCACATCCTATGATACATGTCACATCTTACTGATTAGCAGAGTTCAGAATTTTTTTTAAGTATTTATTTTTATTTCATTTGCAATGGTGCTTTGCCTGCATATATGTCTGTAGGAGGGTGTTGGATCCCCTTGAACAGGAGTTAACAGACAGTTGTGAGCTGCCATGTGGGTGCTGGGAATTGAACCTGGGTCCTGTGGAAGAGCAGTCAGTGCTCTTAACCACTGAGCCATTTCCAGCCCCTGGAGTTCAGAATTTAAAAGACTGTTAAAATGATGGTCATTTCTTGCTTTAGTGGATGCTGTCTTTAATCCAACAGAGGATCAAGCACCTAGGCTTCCATTACTATTCTTTTAACTTAAAATTGGAAGCTTTAATGATTTGAGGTTCTGAAATTGAAGTGTCCAAATTTTCTTGAAAGAGAAGGGGAGCCGGGCGGTGGTGGCGCATGCCTTTAATCCCAGCACTTGGGAGGCAAAGGCAGACAGATCTCTGTGAGTTCAGGCCAGCCTACACTACAGAGTGAGTTCCAGAAAAGGCGCAAAGCTACACAGAGAAACGCTGTCTCGAAAAACAAAAACAAAAACAAAAAGGGAAGAAAGAAAGAGAGGGGGAAACTTCTCTATGAAAAGTCCAGAGTAAGTGAACTTTTTGCAACTTGACTCAAACCAACTGTAAAAAATGTAAAGCAATGAGGAGATCTGAACACTAATTAGGTGAGAGACTAGAATTCTGGGAGGGTTTTTAAAGCAGAACACCTTTACTATGTTTGTGTTTCTGGTGACACATGATGTCTTTCAAATGATGAATGGTGCAATATTGCCAGGTGAATGACTTGTAGCCTCTGGGTAAGACAGTCCTTTGGGGTGTTGTTGATGTATTGTGGGTAGCGAAATGCAGATGGTAGTGATTGGAGCTGGATGATTGGTACATAGGATTTCACAATTCTATTCTCCACATTGGTGTGGTTTGGAAGGCTCTTTTCATTAATTTTATTTTTTTCCTTTTTTGGAGAGAGGGTCTCACTCTGTAGCCCCAAACTCAGAGATCTTTCTGCTTCTTCCTCTCTAGTACCAGCATAAAAGATGTGCACCATCATGCCTAGCTGATTTTGCAGTTTTACCTACTAAAAACATCATAGCATGGCATGGTGGCACACAATTGCAATATCTATGCTACTGGAGAGGCCAAAGCAAGGAGGATCCCAAGTTTGAGCCAGCTTGGACAACAAGAGAAGATCCCCTGTCAAAAACCAGCCAGCCGAGGGCGGGGTGATGGATGAGTATTTAAAGTAATTAATTACTGCACAAACACAAGGACATGAGTTCGAAGCCCTGGAACTATGAAGAGCCAGGCACTGTAGCAGGTGTCCATAATCCAGTGATCCAACAGCCAGGTGGGAGGCAGAGGCAGGAGAATGCACAGAAGCTCACCAGCTAGCTAACCCTTGCACATAGTATGCAGAGGGATCCTGTCTCAAATATTGGAAGACTAAGACTAGCACCCAAACTCATCTTCTAGCCTCCATGTGTACACTGTGGCACGTGTATGCCCAAATTCACACAAATATATGTATATGCACATACAGTTTCTATCTATGCACCCAAAGACAAAACCAGCTAACTAAACAACAAAACAGCTGGATATAATACTCATACCCTGGAATACTAGCATTTAGGAACCTGAGGCAAGAGACTTGCAAGTTCAAGGCCAACCTGAGGTACATAGTAAGCTCCAGGCCAACCTGGACTACCCACCAAGATCTCAAAACAAAAAGCAAAAAGCAAAAACAAAGTAAAACAAAACTATAAAACTACTTCTGTCCTCTTGTTTGTGGTAATCAATTGCACCACTAAAAGAAGAAAGCATTTAATGGTTTTCTTGCCAGATTTCTGGGGAAGATCTGTTAGTGTTTCTTCATAATCTCTAAGCATTTCTTTTGGCTTTTGTATTTATTTCGTCTGCTTTTGCTTTTGCTTTTGCTTTTGTGTGTGTGTGTGTGTGTGTGTGTGTGTGTGTGTGTGTGTGTGTGTGTATTTTTTATTTTTCAAGGAAACAGATTTAACAGATTTATTGAGTATACTACAAGGGGCAGTGGGCTGGGTAGTAACCAGAGTATTGCCTGCTTTTTTGTTTCATTGATTTTTTTAAGACAGGGTCTCTCTACATAGCCCTGGATGTCCTGGAACTTGCTCTGTAGACCAGGCTGGCCTTGAACTCAGAGAGATTCTGCCTCTGTCTCCCCAGTGCTAAGATTAAAGGCATGAGCCACCATGCCTGGCTTTTTTGTTTGTTTGTTTGTTTGTTTGTTTGTTTTTGTTCTGTCCTGGAACTCACTTTGTATACCAGGCTGGCCTTGAGTTCACAGTGATCCTCCTGCCTCTGCTCCTCCAGTGCTGGGATCAAAGGTGTGCACCACCATTGCCCCGCTAAAGATTTATTTATGAATGTATTTTATGTATATGAGTGCTCTGTCTTCGTGCACACCAGAAGAGGGCATCGGATTCCATTACAGGTGGTTGGAAGCCACCATGTGATTGCTGAGAATTGAACTCAGGACCTCTAGAAGAGCAGCCAGAGCTCTGAACTGCTGAGCCATCTCTCCAGCCCTCTTTTGTACATTCTTAATAGCTAATGTTATGTCTTTGTATTCACCTAAGATATAAATTGTTCATTTTTACTGTCAGGTTTATTTTTATTTTCCTCATAATTGTGAAACTCCAAAGCAGTAAAATGATTTTCCCGTGTTGCCACACAGTGTGAGATGCTGACGCAGGTGACGGCCCTTCACTTCCACATTTCTTCCCTTCCTCTCTACTTCACATGAGATGCTTGTCAGTGTGTGCTTGGGTTCTGAAGTATTTATTAGCCAAAAAGAAAGTTAAAGTAAGCTTGCATTAGAGATGAACAGGTATGACTAACCCATGTAGATCCAAAGGGTGGTAGATTTGAAAGTTCTTTAACGTGCACAAATATTGAAGTCATGACATTTTAAGTGTATGTATCCCCCTCTCTCTTGTAGAGTGAGTCTTTGGTGGTTTGTGATGTTGCTGAAGATTTAGTGGAAAAGCTGAGAAAGTTTCGTTTTCGAAAAGAAACCCACAATGCTGCCATTATAAGTAAGCTGAAGTTGCCTCAAAACTCTCTGACGTTAGTTTGTCTTCTCTTACAGTCCTTTGAATGTGCCAAGCCTTTAGACAGCAACAGTTCTTCCTCCACCTGCTGTATTTGTCACTATTACCTCTGCAAGTTTAGAAACTGCTCCTTCTGTTGCCATAGATAGCACCCCCCCCCCAGATGCTAATTGTCTTGATCACTTGAGGAATGAGGGTTCATAGTGATCCATAGTGTGGCTCCGAGGGCTAACATTTGCCCACACCTAAATGGTAAAGTTCAGCATTGAGCCTTATTCTAATTCTACACTAAACTTTAGTTTCAGGGAGAGTGCTTTACTTGTTTTCATAGCTAATACTTCGTGGGAGATGATTTAGAAAGATGAAGGAAGGTTAAGGGAGTGAAGTCATACTTTTACGTAACAGAGATCCATCAGGCAGGTGTGTATCAAATCAGGTGGTGACACCTTATGAATTTTGGTTCTGTTACAAATAAATATTATCATGTGGTCCTGTGGGTCTCTTTTTTTTTTTAATGTATGAGTGCTCTGTCTGCATGTATGCCTACATGCCAGAAAAGGGCATCAGATACCATTATAGGTGGTTGTGAACTACCATGTGGTTTCTGGGAATTGAACTCAGGACCTATAGAAGAGCAGCCAGTGCTCTTAACCGCTGAGCCATCTCTCCAGCCCCTTTTTTTGTTTGTTTGTTTTTTGTTTTTTTTTTTAAATGGTGATATGGTTCTTAATGGGGAAAATGTATAATAGTGCCATTTACCCCAACAGACAAGGGTGTTTGAAGTCCTAATGTATGTCCTTAGGATTTAATGTGACTTTAGTGCAAACTCAAGCATAGTTAACTCTTTAGACAGGTAGAAAAGAATAAAGGCATAGAGGACCTAAGTTTACTCTGATTTGGATTTGGTTTATGTCAGTTATATTTGAACAGAGGTTGAATTGGTAATTCACTTTCTTAGAATAATGACCACCTGCCATGAAACTGTAATGTTGGAGAAGCTAGGGGTCTTGGGATTTCTTTCTCCTAAGCCCTGGTGAGCTTTTCTTTGGCAGTTCTAACCATGTTGCACATAGACAGTCTCAGTCAGTTAGTCTTCCAAGCCTCCCTTTATTTAGACAGTTGCGCTGGAGTCCCAAAGTTCTCCATCCATGCAGTACGTGTGAGGAGTTGATAAGAGTCTAAATAAGCACGTTCCATGTTGGGAATTCTACCTGGAAATGTAAAGCTAATACTTACGTGTGTTTATGCTGTGTTTCTTGATGTCTTAGTTTTTGGTGCTCCCCTCCCTTCAAATAGACTGAAGCTGCATAGATTGGATAGTCAAGGTCACCAGAATCACACTTTACTTATACTGTATTTTCCTTGTAGTGAAGATTGACAAGGACAAACGCCTGGTGGTACTGGATGAGGAACTTGAGGTTTGTTTAATGAGCTAAATACAATTTCTATAGTTAAGCAATTATTGTTGTCCAAACAATGCTATGTTAGTTACATGTACTAAAACAAGTTCTGGGCCTCCTTAAATACATGCTAATTTTACATGAAAAGCATGGACTGATTGTTGGTTCCACATTGTCTTGCTGATTTAACTGCCTTCCTTAAAGCGTTAATGAGATCCAGTGTTGGAGGTCTGCACCTAGTAAAGATGAGTGAGCTTCCTAACTGATGAGCTGTGCACAGAGTGGTATCAAACTAACGCCAGCCACTGAGTGTTGAGTAGAATTCCTCTTTGCTCTGAGCTGCTGCTTTGTCCCTCAGTGTCTCCTGACAATTGGAACATAAATAGAGAAGGAACACTGTCCTTCAGCACTGTGTTTTGTTAGTAGAAGTAATTTTGTGATGTGATAACAGATTCACAGCTCTGAGCAGAATGGGTGCTCAGTGGATCTTTGGGGAAGGACATGCTTCAAACTTTCTTTTCTCTCTGGTGCCAGGGCATCTCCCCAGATGAACTTAAAGATGAACTCCCTGAGCGGCAACCTCGATATCCTTTTCTAAGTGGTTTAGAAAAAGTTTTATTCGTCACCAGGATTTTATTTATGAATCCATTTGTTAAACTTCCAAAAGACATTTTATATGCCATGAAAACAGAATGGGGGACTGTTGGGAGAAGGAGGGAACAGTGAGGGGGAGGGAGGGACAAATGTGAGCGGAGTACTAAATGTATGAATGACTAAGAAGTTAATAAAAGGATAAAAACATATCTTAAAGGCCCCCCCTCCACATCATGACCACATTAAAATATGTATGCATGTAAGTAGATAAAAAAAAAGGAAAGTTGATGTATTAGATTACTTTTTAAACAATTCTCTTTAAATGTGCACATAGTAAAAACTGAGAAAGAAAAAGTCCACATTAAATCTGGACCTTTAACAAGTTTCTTTTTGAGAAACTACATGATTTTATAATTTGCCTTTGGGGCCTATTTTGTAGAACAATATCAAAAGTGTGGTGTTTAATGAATAAGGCCATTCACTAGCTGAAGTGTTGACTGTTGCCTGTCTTAGAGCAGTGACTTTAGTTTCTTTAACTTGAGAAAAACCTTCATTGTGTATAGTTATAAATACCAACATGATGATGGAAGAGTTTCCTACCCTCTGTGTTTTATCTTCTCCAGTCCTGTTGGTGAGTCAGTCTCTTTAATAATGTGTACTTGGCTTTGATCCAATTGAACCATCTTCTGCTAGACAGATTTTTGCTATTTATAAAGATGAAATTGTTGAATAGCCTAAATTGAGGTCAGCTGATGTTTGTGTTTGTGCACACACCATGTACACTCTAGAGAGCAGGTACTGTAAAGTGTCATCTCTCAGGATGCACTTACCTCTGCTGGTTAATTCCTAGAAGTATAATTGTTGAGTTAAATCATACATTTTAATGATTCAGAAATACAGTGACACCTTTTAGAATCAGAAGTATATATTTTAGTCTTGTTTAAGTATGTGATCTTTGTTTGACCATGGTAATATGCTTATGTTTATCTTTTTTAAAAAAACTTACTAGTGATATACCTGTAATCTTGAAGATGGTCCTTGTACTATCAAAATTAAAATAGTGCTGAATAAAGTTTTAAGTGTCAAGACTCTAAAAATCAGAATCTATGGAAACCTAAACCATTTTTAATGATCTGCTCACTTTGAATTGTATGTCTTTGTGCAGGCAATGCACAGTGGAAGAATCACAGTTTAGCCATGTACATTTAGACCAAAGCTTTTGTAAACTTAGTAGCAAAGGAAATCCTAAACAAATCTTTGTGAAAGATAAAAGTAATGGAAACCATTACCTTTTCAAAAGCTACCCTTTGTCTCTGTGCTGATGTCTTCCAGGATGCAAGCCTGAGCAGCAGATGATGTATGCTGGGAGTAAGAACAAGCTAGTCCAGACAGCTGAGCTAACCAAGGTAGTATCTGTGTTGGACATGCTTCCTTTAGAGTACAGGGTAACAGCTGAGCAGCTGATCCAGATGTATTTTCTGTAGTTGAAGCCCTGTCGACTAATGTGGTCCATAGTATAAGGCTTTGTATTCGTGGGAAAGAGAACTGTAGTAATCTTTGAACCAATATGTGTTTTTAAAATAATTCAATTAGAAAAAAATAACTTTCAAAATGTGAGCAGCTTCAGAAAAGCTACTGTAACCATGCATGGTGGTACATGCCTGTAAAGCCAGCACTGGGGAAGCTGAGGCAGAAGGATCATGAGTTCAAGGCTAATTTGGGCCACATAATGAGATTACCTTAAAAAAAAAGAAAAAGAAGAAGAAAAGAAAAGGTCATGGTAACTGCTAAGCTAGTTAGTCTTTTATACTATCTGCACCCTAATGTACTAGATCTGACATTTCAGTGTACACATTACTTTCATAACTATGGAATCTCATTCTGTACAGGTGTTGAGATTGATGGTCATATTTCTGTAAATAAGAAAACAGGCTCACTGGATACTGAGACTTACCCCCAAGCCTCACAATCTGAGCTTGATTCCTAGGACACACATGGTAGAAGCAGAGAACCAATTCCTGCAAGATATCCTCTGACCTCCATACACATAGGGCTCATATGTACATGCATGTGCTTACACACAAACACACACACAAATACAGGTGTCATTTTAAAGGTAAAAATAAAGAAAAGCAGGTTCAGAAGATGAATGACTTGCTTAGGGTTGTGTGTTAGTTGGAACTAAGATTCAAATTTACATCTGGTTCCACATCCCATCTGTGTTCTGTAATACCTCACCTCCCTCTAGCCTTGTGCTCTCTGGACTGTGAATTCAGATTCCTGCTGGATAACTCTAACTGTGGACTTTGAGTGTAGCCTTATCAAATTAGTCAACAGCTGGTGTTAACATCTGATACTCAAACTGTGGAAGATTGGCCTTATGTTTCTCTAGCTCCTGGCTAGGTTGATTTTAGATACGTATGCTTGGCTGTCTTTTCTAATGGGCAAGCTTTACATAATTGCTCTTTTAACATATATGTGCCGCTTTAGAATTTGTGGTTTTAAAAGAACATAGGTTTTATGCCATCTTGATTACTACACTTTGGTAACTTAAGTATTTAGTACTGAAAAGAAGGTAAATATTAGCCGGGCAGTGATGGCACATGCCTTTAATCCCAGCCAGCACTCATGAGGCAGAGGCAGGTGGATCTCTGTGAGTTCGAGGCCAGCCTGGTCTACAGAGCTAGTTCCAGGACAGCTAGGGCTGTTACACAGAGAAACCTTGTCTTGAAAACAACAACAACAAAAAGAAGTTAAGTATTACCAAAAAGGGACATCTAATTTACTCAGATTAAGTCATGGTTGTGAGCAATATGAAGGAAACAGAATGTGGTATTTAATACTCAGTACAATGTAGGGATTTTTTTTTTTTAAGTGATGGAATATGACTTCAGTTTGTTTGTTTTTTCCTTCCTTAAGGTATTTGAAATAAGAAACACTGAAGACCTAACTGAAGAATGGCTACGTGAGAAACTTGGATTTTTCCACTAATGTGAACTTCTGTGTTTCTAAAGTATTTATGTATTAACCTGACCATACTGGAACCAGACATAAATAGTTAATTTATGCCTAAAAATGCACTGTTACTTACAGTCTGTTTCCTGCAGTAAAGAAACTTCATTTGTGCAGTTTGAACAAAGGGAAATCATCTTCATAGTAACGGAACTTTGTGAAGTGTTGCCTTGTGTTTGTCATTGTTAGCTGGACCATTGTTCTCCGGGGTGACTAATTTCTGTAATTTATGATTGGGAATGACTGTTTGCAGACACTATTGGAGGGGGGTATTAGATTGTGATGGACACAGGTCCTCCTTGGCCCCCTCCTGGGCACTGGCAGTTTAGAAGTGCAGAGAGAAGAACCTCATCGCTTGGCACATCAGCCAGGTTCATGGCTAAGGGGACTGATGCTGAGCCAGGAGTCATGACTGCAGAGCCTCTGCTGCACTCCCTAGTCCTCCTTCGCTCTTGGTCTCCTGTAACTGTTTAATCAAGTGTAGAAACTACATCAGTCACTCGTTCTTAAGGTCTGGGAGTTGGATTTTATGGTAGAGTTATGATTATTAGGTTTTCTTCTTAAGGGAAGTAGAATTCTAGTCTTAGAAACTGGTGAGTTATAGAATCAAGGGCTTCGTTCCTGGTTGTGTCACTAATAGGGAGCTTAGAATGTAGCTTGGTAACACTATAAAGTATCTCCTAATGTCTTGTGAGCACTGTTTAAATATGTTAATACTGTGCCTTTGATTTGTCAGCATTAACATTAGCTTAAGACTTCTACACTGCCAGTATTCTAGATTTGGTGAAATTAATACTTTTCTAAAGGGTTCAAGTAAAACAATTTTCTAATATGTATAACTGAAGTTTGTAATAAAACCAACTTGTTATTTTTAAAATTCCAACTGTCTGCCCAAAGTCATACATATATATGGTAGGTGGAGTTATAATTTGGGGTATATTTACTGTTAGTTTCGTGCCATATGTAAGCATTATTTAAAAGTTTGGTCATAGTTAATAACACATCAATAGATGTCATACCTTTTATTCTCAATGTCAGAAGAAATCCTAATGTGGACAAAGCCAGTCATGTTAGGTGGTGACACCATTGTTAGGAAGCGAGGCTTACAATGTACTTGCAGTTATTATGTTACACTTGAGAAACCATGTCAGAAACTGCTGAGGAATAATTTGATTTGAAGAGACTGTAGAGGCTGACCAAATTTTTATATTAAGAAAGTAATTATTTTGAGCTGAGCAGTGGTAGTGCACACGCCTTTCATTCTAGCACTTGGGAGGCAGAGGCAGGCGGATCTCTGAGCTCGAGGCCAGCCTGGTCTACAGAGCAAGTTCCAGGACAGCCAGGACTACACAGAGAAACCGTGTCTCGAAAAACAAAACAAACAAAAAAATCATTTCAAAACTAGCAAAAGCATTATTACGTTGGCACGTGTTCATTGTAAAATATTTGTCTTGTTTAGGGCTCTGTACCAGCTTTACTGGAGGAAAGATGGTTTTCACAGTGGAATAGGGTGTGCTGTATTCCTAGCTGTGTGTTCACGAACCTGTGTGTCAGGAAGCAATACAAGTGCTACAGAAGGTGTTTGCACTGGCTATGAATGGAAATCAAGTTGCTTTATTTCGGTTTCTGGAGAGTGAGAAAACTTCACCCAAGAAGTGTAAGAGTTCACTATATAGGTATTTTGTTATGGGCTAGAGAATAGCTTGCTTATAATCCTACAGAAAGCAAATGAGATCCAAGTAGAGAGTAACTTTAATGTTTTTTGAATGAAGCAAATAAGCTTTTGTTTCACCTGATTGCATAAGTACTCTGTTGAAAGTAATGCTGCACGAGTGTACATTTTTAATGCAGTTCTTCATTTGGGCTTGCGTATTTAATTTTGGAAATTAGACCTGCCAAACACAGGATCTTACCTCCAGATCTCTAGCAGCAACACAGAGGGTGGTCAGCAGCCTCCTGTTTAAGCTTGCCTGACCCTTCCCAAGAAATGTGCCTTCTGCAAGGCCGCATATTGGATTGGGGCATCAATAGAACATTTGTATTCTGTCTGTCCTTATGCAGGTTTGTAAGTCTTACGCTCCAGAGTAGTTCTCAAATATTTATGTAAGTTTCCCTTTACATTCTTTTAAAGTATTTTTATTATCCTTTTTCTACCTTTCCATAAAGAGTATGTCCAGATTTCATAATTCCAGCTTTTACACTCCATGTCTTTCTGGAACAACCATTCCCACTCAGCCTTAAATCTTAATCTTTCCTTTTTGTAAGCCACTCTTTCCAGGAACCTCTTTGTTTTCTAAGTCAGCTTTGGTTTGGAATTTCTGATCTTATCTAAGTTGTGCATAGCATCTAATGTCAGAACCGACTAAGAACCACAGTATGTATGTAATGAGTTTTTGTGACACAGAAGGGACGTATGAAGAAAGGTAGTCTCAGGTTCCTGTGCTGAAATTCCAAAATGTCTGACTTTTGAACAGTAATCACTTTGTTCTGATACTGAAACAATTATGTTAGGAAAAAAGCTGTTTTGTTTAATGGACTTCTGAACTCCGAATTGTCTATCTGGATGCCTAGTGCAGTTAAACATTCTCTTGTGTGAGGGCTGTTGCTGGATTGTTTGTCATTAGTAAATCATTTGTTGCAAAATGTGTGTGAACATTTTCCCTCCCTTTGTCTCCTATTTTCAGGAGCCAAGCTTAGCCATAAACTGTATCCTGGTCTGACACTTTCACTAACAGTTTCCAGTTAGAGGACTTTATTGCCAAATTAAACTTGGCTCTTATCCTGCCCAGATAGAAACTGAGGAAGTGCACAAAAGACATGTTCAGACACTTGTAAAACTTGTGTGACGGCATCAATCTGTATATGGACTAGTGAATAGATATTTTCATAAGGGTTGAAATGCCAATATTTGGGAAGTAGAGAGTAGAGTATAGTCTGTCAGTTCTATCGAGTGTTAATATAGTTGTACTCCTTATTTGTTCTGGAGACTGATAATACTGGAGTCCATAAAGTTTGAACCTTTACAACTTATGTGAAGAAATGTTGCAAACATTTCTGGATGGATCTTATTTTGTATTTCTGGAAGAATGTAAATACTCCTAGGCCTCTTCATGCTGATGGTTCCCAGGCAGATGTTTCGTGTTAGGCCGTTTGACATTTCAGATCAGTGATCAAATTCCTGTGATGTTTAAAACAGTTACATTAAGCTTGTGGTATTTTTTGCTTTTTAGAATATAAATACTTGAATACTGTTTGAGCTCACTAACATGCCAGGGCAAGTCCCACTGATTTTGATGGTCCAATATAATCTCATTCAGGAGGCTTGAAACATTGGTGGCTTAGTCTCATGGATTGAACAGTTCTCTGTCATTGTTTGAGAACACCAACAACTGGCACCACTTCTTAAGCTGTGCTTTCAGTCTCTGCTAGTTCATACGCATGTTTATTTTGGAGTCTTTTGGTAAGCATGGTGCTTGTACTGGTTTAAATAAAATGCTAACATGAAAGGACTTGTAGTGTTTCATTTTTTGCCTGCCTTCTACCATCTCTCTGTAGCTACTGATGCCTGCCTATCGGTTTCTGTGAGCCACATGCCTGTTTAGCAGTTTACTTTATAGGGGCAAACCAAGTAACGACAACAATGAAAAACAGGAATCCTTGGGCAACTTGATGGAAGGAAAACATGACATGAAACTTTCTAAAACACAGTCTGACGCAAAAATGACGGATTTTTAAAAATGTCAGTGAAAAGCAGTAGAGGTTGAAGAACCGGTTCCAGACATGAAGCTAGCCTTGAAAGGGAGAATTAGAAGTTAGGAGGTCGGAGTGCCTCTAAGCAGTCCTGTTATTGGAAATAGTGTCACTGTTTATAGTCATGCATTGAAGACCCATCCTGCTCTAGGGATTGGATTCCAGAGTGAGTATATGCCAGGGGTGTCTAGTAGAATGGATAAATGCTTTGTGGCGGCTTTACCATGTACTACTTGTGATTTAATCTGCTAATTGTCACAATTTGTTTTGGTTATGAAAGAAGTAATTAATGCTTTCCTGTCTTTAAGAATCTCAAAAGGATGGGGCTGGAAAGATGGCTCAGAAGTTAAGAGCATTGGCTGCTCTTCCAGAGTTCAGTTCCCAGCAACCACATGGTGGCTCACAGCCATCTATAATGAGATCTGGTGCCCTCTTCTGGCGTGCAGGGCTACATGCAGGCAGAACACTGTATACATAATAAATAAATAAATCTTAAAAAAAAAAAAATCTCAAGAGAACTGGCCACAGTCCTTATTTCTCAAATTTGATCACTTAGCTGTGTCAAGGGCCAGTTAGGTGGAAGGTCTGGACACTGAATCTCAGTGCAGTGTATCTGTAGCTGTGTCAAGGGCCAGTTAGGTGGAAGGTCTTACTGCTGTGCATCTTGTGCTTTCAGAGTTTTTATGGGGATTGGCAAGTTCGGTTTCCAGCACCTAGGTTAGACACAACTGTCTTGAACTCTAGCTCTGGGGGATAACCTCTACAGGCACTTGGTGTGCGCAAGTGTGTGCGTGTGTGCGCGCGCACGCGCACACACGAATGAAAATGCTTAATAAAGGAGTTCATGGTTTGAGCTGTTACATGTTAGGTTTGTGATCTACCTGGAATTTGTGGTGTACAAGATGTGAAGAGGCCGAGGGGCGGCTTCACTCACTCACATGTAGACATGCTTCTGTTAAATTAATTGACCATTGAGTTGAGAGTGCACTTCAGATTCATTTTATATCACTGCATATTTATATTTATGTCAGTGTTACACTATTTTGACTTTCCTAGCTCTATTAATTTAGCATTAAGAATATGAGTTCTCACGCCGAGCGGTGGTGGCGCACGCCTGTAATCCCAGCACTTGGGAGGCAGAGGCAGGCGGATCTCTGTGAGTTCGAGGCCAGCCTGGGCTACAAAGTGAGTTCCAGAAAAGGCGCAAAGCTACACAGAGAAACCCTGTCTCGGAGAAAAAAAAAAAAAGAATATGAGTTCTCAATGATCAGATCTTGAAGTAGTGACCAACTCTGGCCACTGACTAGTACCTATAACTTGGAATCCAAGTAGCTGCAGTTTTCAGTGTTCTTTTATCTTTAAAAAATGTTATTGGTATGCCATGTGGTGGTGGCACACACCTTTAATTTCAGCCCTCAGGAGGCAGAGGCAGGAGGATCTCTGTGAGTTCAAGGTCAGCCTGGTCTACAGAGTGAGTTCCAGGACATCCAGGGTGTTACATAGAGAAACCCTGTCTCAAAAAATAAAATAAAATTTTATATATACATATATATATTGGTGTTAGTGTGTGGATACCCACTACAGCAACTGAACGAAGGTCAGAGGACAACATGGAGAGTTGCTTCTCTTTCTCTACCAGGGGTTCTAGGGAAAGTTGTCCAACTTGCAAGAGCTCCTACCCACTGCACTCTTGATAGCTCTTTTTTTAAAATAATATTTTATTTATTCTTTCAGAATTCCATACAATATATTTGATCGTATTCTCTCACCTGCCCCAACTCCTCTCAGCTCCTATCCAACAAAACTTCTACCTACTTAACGTCATGATTTTCCGCTCTCTTAAAAGAACGGACAAAAAAGCCATGGAGTCTAATTTGTGTGTGCTGAGCATGGCGCCTGTCTGGAGCATGGTTGATATGCTCGGTTTCGCTCCTTTGAAGAAGACTGATGTACCATCCTCCAGCAGCTGTCAGCTATGAATAGCCTCTTGGTTAGGGTTAGGGACGTCATGCCTACTGCCTCTCCGTGTCAGGCTTGAACGTATACAGGTCTTGTGCATACTGTCACAGTCTCTGTGTTCATATGTACATCTCCCCTGCAAAATATCTGGAAAATGCCATTTCCTTGAAGTTGTCCACCACCTCTTGCTCCTATAATCTTCCTGTCCCCTTTTTCACATAGATTCATGATCCTTAAGGGAAGAGGTGTGATAGAGATATCCCAATAATTAGTAAATAGGTGTTTTTAAAAATGGCATGCCATTTAACTAAGCTATTGGTACTATTTAGATATTATGTTATATCAGGTTTGAAGTATAAATTGCACAATTAAATCACAAATTTTGAACTTTGGGAAGGGCAAGAAGCTGAATTTAACTAAACTTGAGTTTTGTGACTATATTGCAGAAAGGGGTTAGTGTCTATAAATGATGTAATCTATCTTGTTAGGTTTTGTTTTACGGAGACAGGGTCTCACTATGCAGCCCAGCCTGGCCTGGAGCTCACCCTGTAGCCCAGGCTGGTTTCAAATTCCTGGTGATCCTCTTGTCTCAGCCTCCCTAGTCTTGGGATGACCAGAGTTAGATACCATGCCCAGCTGATGACTTCTTATGAATAAAACAAAGATTCATTAAGAACATTAGGCTTCCAGTGGGCATTTTCTCCAGGGTAACAGCAGTTCCACCACCTGTTTAAACAGTGTTTGTGCACTGTTAAAAAATGTTTGAGAATAACCTCAGAGTGTCTTCCAGATAAACTCTGGGGTGAGACCAAATTACCTATATTTTTTTGTCCTCATCTCCTTGTCTTAATTAGGGTTTCTATAGCTATGAAGAGACACCATGACCATGGCAACTCTTTTTTTTTTAAAGAAAAAAAAAACTTTAATGGAATTTGGCTAATTCAGGCATACAGGAGTAATCGGATTTATCATATATCATTTGATCTTATTCTATTTATGTAATATCTTTCTGGTTAGGATATATACTAACTTTAACAATTCTAACAACCTATTGTAAAAAAATTAATAGAACTTGAACACATAAAACTATGTTCTTCCTTCCTCTTGTTTTCCTTTCCTTTAATTAAAAAAATTAAAGCATAGCCCACTAATATAAACTTTTTAAGTATGGTATCAAATCCAACCTTTAGTCTTGGAAATATGTATTCATTTTTTTTACAATATATTCTTTTTTTTTATACTCTTATAAAGGAAAACATTTCATTGAGGCTGGTTTACAGGTTCAGAGATTTAGGCCATTATCATCATGGCAGCGTGGAGGCAAACGTGGTGCTGGAGAAGGAGCTGAGAGTTTTACATGTAGATCTGCAGGCAGCAGAAGCAGACTGGACTGGGCATAGTTTGAACATAATGGAGACCTCAAAGCCTGCCCCCATAGTGACACACTTCCTCTAACAAGGTCACACCTACTCCAACAGACCACACCTAATAGTGCCACTCCCTATGGGCCAAGCATTCAAGTCTACAGGCTGTCATGCCTACTCTAACCACTTCCTCCCCTCCCCGGAAATATGTATATGGAGCTGGGGAAATAGCTTTGTGGGTAAAAGCATTTCCATGCAAATATGACAATCTAAGTTCAAATCCCTAGAACCAGTGTAAAAGTCATATGCATAGCATGAGTGTAATTCCAGTGTTCCTATAACAAGATAAAGACAGACCAGAAAAACCCTGGAAGCTCATCAGCCAGCTAGCCTGATGTAGAAAATGCAGATGTAGGGGCTGGAGAGATGGTCAGAGGTTAAGAGCACTGGCTACTCCTCCAGAGGTCCTGAGTTCAATTCCCAGCAACCACATGGTGGCTCACAGCCATCTGTAATGAGATCTGGTGCCCTCTTCTGGCCTGCAGGGATATATGCAGACAGAACACTGAATACATAATAAATAAATTAAAAAAAAAAAAAAAAAGAAAATGCAGGGGTAAAATCAGGAAAGGACTGACCTCCATGTGTGTGCTGTTGAACAGTGAAGGACTGTAGTCTCACATAGTAGTGTGTGTGTGGAATAAAATTTCTTCCAAAAAATGTATTTTTTCCAGCTGGGGTGGACAATGGTGGTGCACACCTTTAATATCACATAAGAGGCACTGGCAGGTGGACCTCTTGAGCTGGAGGCCAGCCTGGTCTACATAGTGAGTTCCAGGACACCCAGGACTGTTACACAGAGAAACCTTGTCTTGAAAAAACAAAAACAAAATTTAGTTTTCCTTCTGAAAAGTATGGTAAATACAGAAATATGTAAAAATAGGGAAAATTTATTATTCTACTCTTTAAGATAATTAGCATTTTAATATACACTACTTTAAATTTCCATGTATTTAAAAAGTATTGCATATGATACTCAAATCCAAATGATGATTAGTGTTTTATAATATTATCCATTAAGAACTTTATAAATGCAGGACATGATGGTACATGCCCTTTAATCCCATGTATGCTAGGCAAGTGCCACACTCCCAGTTCTAGCAATAGAGTTGAAAACTAGCAAAACATAAAATTGTTAAGTAAGTCATGATGTATGTACTCAAAAATATTAGGAGACTATTTGTAAGGTTGTTTTGTAATGCCCATTTGTGAGCTCCCTACCCCCAACAGGACCGCCAAGGAGCCAGTTTTCGATGTAGGAACAAAAGGTTTCGTTTATTCCGGCCTAGGCAGGTACCTCCCCAGCACCACTTTACAGTGGGTGGAAAGAGGGAAGGGGCCCAGCACTCACTCTAAGGGGTTTATACAGGAAAGGT